ATACTAGATAGTCATGTAATTATTTTATCCTAGTTAAATAAGATATAAATAGTTAGCTCTTTGTATTATTCATTAATTTGTTAATCTTTATTCATTACAGATAATTCCTTACACTTTCGTTCCGTCACAAAGCAATTATACAATACATGAAAATGGTGAATTCTGTTCTCAAAGTTATCGATAAGTCGGGTCGACTCTACTCTTTATGCGACGTGTAATGTATGCGAAAAAAAAATAAATTTATTCTGTTGATCACATTTAAATTTGACGTACATGCAGTGTAATACAAACACGTTTTTTGTGAATGGTAGTACATCGATTAATATGGGTCTTGAAATAAACTATTAAACAATTCTTATAGGTGCTCGCCGGGAAAGGTGGTGCGTAGAAATTTTATTGAGCATAACAAATTCGTAATTCCTTTTTTTTTTTTTCTTTTTTCTTTTAATGGAGTTTTTCTCCGATGATGAATGTGCCCAAATGTAAATTCGAAATTATTAATTTACGGTGACATTATTTCTTAATTAGAATCTTAACCTTACACGCATATTTACAGTAATTCATAACCTCTTAATTTCTTAGATCGATTGCGCAAATATTTGTGCTAAACAATCTCTCCACACGCATCATTGCAAATACCCATATGTGTCTATGTAAGTGAGGTCCCCAGCGAACAAATTATAATAATAGAGATCACTCGGTTGGAAGGATGGGTAATGTGGGGTCATGTAAAGTGGATCCGTGGTATATTGAATGTTGGCATTGTTTGTATTTTCTTCGAATAATTGAATGTATTCTCCGGGAAATTGTGGGTAGTTGGTTGGCTGGGCGGTGGGGTTAAGAAAGTCTAAGGCGATTAGAGGAGTTCGGAACGGTGATTCATTCCTTTCGTTCGTTTCTAGGGGTAACCCATCCGACTCTCCGCCGATTAGAGGAGTTTGAAACGGCGAATTACTTTTTTCTTCCGATTCCAGAAGAAATAATCTGTCCAACTCTCTGGCGATTCGGACGTATTCTTTCTTAACTTCTTCATGCTGGATCCTCCACGACCTCGATGCTAACCGCGACACGATAGATTGAGGAAGAACGGGATGTGTCCTTTTCAACGCCTTGTAAAACTCGGCCCTGAACACCATGAAAGAATTGCAAACTTTCGAGCGTCTTTTCCCATTTTTTCGGTATCTTTTGGAAGACTTTGAGTTCAACAATTCTTCCGCCGTGATAGTCGGCGGAAAAGGAAGGTGAACAATAATCGAATCATAGGTTTCCCTCGTATTAGCCATCGTTAATAAATAGTGAGTTTTAAACCGTCAGAAGAGAATTGGGTTATTTTTCTTTTGGACCTGATAACTCAAAATTTACCTTCTTATATACTTTCATCTTTGACGCAGAACTCTCTTATTTTCCAAACTTTGTCTGATGGAAATTAACAAGCAATCCACCATGGTAACACCAAACAAATCTAGTCGTTAAATCTTCTAGATTTTAGATATAAAGGTCATGTGATTTTTTAATCGCGATGAACCTAATTTGACATTAACATCATTCGGTTTTAATATTCCGGATTCTAATTTCCAAATTTATACCATGACATTATTGACCTATATAATCATTATTGACATGTGGTAATTTTTTACGTGACGGTGACATCGAATAAAACCGATAACGATTACAAATTACAAACATTTAATACAAGGGTTATAACAACTTGTTTCAGATTATACTGGTTTTATAACTCCGTTACTAGAAGTAACAAACTGTCAATACAAGGGTTGGTGGTGATCTGATTGCAAATAAATCAAGTAAAATTTTAACGTCTTTTAGAAATTTGCGAGAACTTACTTCCTTTGTCATTGTCCAGATTATCTGTATTAAGATCTGTTGTAACGTAAGACATTGTGATTAATCACGCCATTACCTTCTCGCTTCACTATTAAATTTGAAACCAAAATAGCATCGTAGTGCCTTCATATGAACAAGTTGTTCTAGCCTTATGGTATTAACATGGAAATCCGGTGTCCATTATTCCGCGACATTGTGTTATTATTCTAGTCATTTATTCAAACAGGTGTGCGTTCTTATTACGTGCCATAATAACATCAAAGAAAAGTCTATTAACTTACTTGGCGCAGATCATATTCCGTACTACAATAACGTTCCCTATTAGAAAATTATGTTTCACATATAACTTTGTTTCCTAATTGAGATAATCGATTATTAATTTTAATGAGTCGAGAATATCTCAATAATATCGATTAGTAACGTGTTTCTAATGCGTTTTCTTTTCTTTTCATTGTTATATAAATATAGCGCAAATAAAATTATATTTCAACAAAAATAAATCCATGATTAAATCAGTATATTAATTTTTATAAGGTCATTATAATAAAATAAGTTGGTAGGACGTAGAAATAATGCAAACAATGTAGATTTAAAGTAAAATCAAAAAAATGACCATTTGCGTAGGACTATATAAAAATGTTCACATCCTTCGCTTAAGAATTGAGTCGACGAAACTATTGGTTCCAATTGAAAAATGTAAAAAAAAAATCAATATATTGTATTATATCATATTATTTTTTTTAATACTTTATTAGATTAGTTGTGTGCTTTATTAAAAAAAAAAATTTTTTTTCAACGCTCTATCAAATTGTCCTTTGCAAACAGTTTATATACAATATTTTATATATCATTAAGCTATTTTTTAATCAATAATTTGAAAAACATGAATTGCAATTTTGAAAATAATTTGACACAGTGTTATTATTTCAAGTAAGGATTCTTTCAACAATTAATATTTTTATTTGCAAAGAGTTCTAGAGATGAACTCTTTTATTGATTACCTAATCATACACAAAAAAAGATGTTTACATAAAAGTCTTTTGACTTTTTGATCAACAAAGCCTTAACACTTTCTTTAAAACAATAAAATATTTTTAAAAATTGATTCTATCCTTTTCTTTTTATTTATAAATAAAACTTGACTTTTGATAATTAAAAAAAAATCAAATAATATCTTTATTATCAATGATAAAAAAGTTTCTAAAAGAAAAAAACCAATTATAACATATTTAAAAAATTTTTACATTTAAATTAAATTGTTATAAAGGTTTTAATAATAGAAAAGTTTATTATCATTCTTTATCAAATGCCTCAATTCTTTTAAAACTCACACTTTTATCTTTTTAAAAATTAATTTTTTACCTATTTTAATTTAATTTTAAATTTTTATATATTTTAATTCTTATTGAACATTTTAATTAATATAAAATATATTAGTTTTTAAAATAAATCAATTTTTTACTAACAAAAATTGTAAACTTCATTAACATTATTAATAATAGAAAAAATGATTACAATATTAAATAAAAGCAAATAATATATAATATATCAATTTTTATTTCTTATCAAATTCTTAAAATAATAAATAAATTTTACTAAAAAAATATTGAAATTTTTTAACCTCAACTTTAGTTATATAAAGTTAAAATATTATTAATACTATTATTTTAATCAAATTATGAATTTAAATTTTATTAATAAAGAATATAAAATAAGATTCTCTATCTTAAAAATTCAAAATAATAAATTTCTTCAATAGTATATAGTTCAAATAATCAACAAATAAATTTTTTAAATAATTCAAACAAGAAAAATATTTCAATTTATTAAATATTTTTTGAAAAAAGATTATATATTTGAATAAAATCTTTTAAAAAATTATTAATTATTTTTTTTTCAATATGCTAATTTAAATATTTTATTTTTTTTCTTTAATATATTAATTCAATAATTTATTATTTTTCAAAATAATCTATAATAATAAATTATTAATTTTTTTTTTTTAATCAATAGTCAGACCAATATGGCTTGTCTATTTAATTGTAAATATATTTTGGTATTTACATAATCTATGACTTTCACATATTGACTCACCTGTCTATAAAGTTTAACATTTTCTAAATATAATTTAGAGGATGATATTTTACTCCCTTTGTGACTTGGATTATCCTCTAGCTGCTCAAATCATTGTCTGCAACTCATCACTATAGATCTTCTAAAGTTCTAATTGTAATTAAAAGCCAAATTATTTAAAACCTTTGAATATTTAACTATTTATTATATCTATTATATTGCCTTAGAACTTCATCTATTTTAAGTCTTCTTCTTTTTTTTTGCATTTCTGAAGAAAAGAATAGAGAAATGGTTGGCTTCCTTGAAAACTCAATTCATTCTTTTAGTTATATTATTGATATTCTAATCCTTTTGAATTTGCTGATAATTCCTTAATTTTATTTCCATTTAATAATAATACTATAACATTTGTTCTAGACTTCCTTCTTGAAGGCCTTTCTTATTTTTTTTACAATATTTACTAATAACTTCTTATATTATTATCACTGGAATTTTAAGGGCTTTAAAATACCTTTTTAGAATCTTGATCTTATCTTTGTATATAAAGTCATAGACTATATAATATAAGTTTTTATCTTATTATTTGATATCCTGGATCTATTTCTTTATTACTCTTTTAACTTTCACCTAGCTCTTGTCAGATCAGTCATTTGTCTTTCTGATATATTGAAGAATTTTACATTAAAATTTGTTTCATATAATTGATCTTTCATTCTAAGTTTTGAACTATTCAAAGAGATATTTAAGGGGATTTTTTTATAACTTGTATATTAAGCATATTATATTTGGATATAAGTCTGATTTTCTTTTTTGTATCACTTGAAGGATAGAATGCTTATTATAAATTAGATTTATCAAAAAACTCTTATCCTTGTTAATACTAAAGGAGATATGAAAGGTATTATATAGATTGAATTGTTTTCAGAAAATTTGCTAATCAATTTCTTTACTAGGATGTATCCATCAGTCTTAGATATATTTTTACTCAATCCAGGCTAGTTCTATTTTTTTTATGTTCTATTTTTTAAGAGAATCTCTGATACTAATATCAATAGTATGTTCCTTTCAAGCTATTATTGTGAAAACTTGATTCAAATTAGATGTTTGTTATCAAATTAAAGAATTTTCTCTTTTGATCTGCTTTGCTAACTTGTTTGCTATATTATTGAACTCATTGTCTTGATGGGCCTTGATCTTTTCAAGTATAAGGCAAAAGTTTTTCTTTCACACTAGGTTTTTGATTCAGTTTCAAAGTAGCCAGTTGATAATTTTAATCCATTTCCTTATAGAAATAAGCTTTTGTAACTGAATTGTCTTTCATATCTTGATAGTTGTACTACAATCTATATATATGATTGTTTTTTTATTTTCAAGTATTATAAAGATTGCAATAAGTATAGCTAAGACTTTTGCTCTTGTAGTTGATGACCATGATGTTGCTCCTGTTGAAAATTAATTGATTATTGTATTTTTTTTAGTTTAAATCTATACAAAATCTATTTCAAGTTCATTTTCACTTTTTGTACATTGCTTGTAAGATCTATCAGTAAAGAAAGTAAATTGCTTTGTGTTTTTTTTATAGTTGTATCTAAGACTCTTTATTAGGTTTGTCATATACTTCTCTAATTATATGACCTGTTTAATCAGTTTGACTTCTCAATTCTCTATTTATATTTCAATTTCTTTTGATATCAACAAATATATGATATTTGATCTATTTATTAATACTATAGGCTCTATAGGATTTCCTGAAAATATAAGTAAAATTTTTTTCCTAATACTTTCTTGTCTATTTAATTGCAATAGTAATCAGATTTTATATACTATATATATAAAATCATTAATTATTTAAATATATGGTGATGATAAGTAGTACTATTTGTATTAGGATTGTAGATAAGCTGATATGATATGAAAAGTACTCCTTTGTTTTGCATTTTGACTTTCTCTATAGTAGTTATTACTATTTCAGTCAAAACTCCCCAATTGATTTTTTGTTTATTAGTTTTAGGAACCACTTTTACCATTTGTTTGTATTCAATCTATTTTAGGATTTGATAAAACTGTTTTAGCAAATCTTGTTATTCTGTAACCTTTGCTCTGATTTGTGTAAATCAGCTTAGAATGGGATCTTTACAAGTATCAGCAAGAATTTGAATTACTCTTTATTCTTTTATTATTAGTGGAATCATATTGATTAACTGATTTAGAAACATTATTTTGTTTTTTTTTTAGAGAAAAAATAATTTTTATATATTCTTTCTCATCATTTATAATTGTCTTAATAGATATAGTATCTTCTTAAGTATCAAAGATTTTTTTTCATCTTCAGCTATTATATATAATCTGTAGTTTCTTTACTATAGCC